TTTCAGAGTCATGTGAGTTGCTTTCTCTTACACAATTTTTCAAAGCAGCGTTGCACATGCTATTGAAAACGGGTCTGTAGTTGAATCCGACATGAATTTTCTTTGTTATGTGTTTCACTTAAACATACATATGATGATCTCTCAAACCATTGATATCAACATTAAAAAGATACCTCTCTTTAGTGCTACTACGACCTGGGAATTACTGCTTTCAGAGGAAAGCGAGAGTATTTTTATCAGCCCTATAATTTAGAGGCCTAGGTATAAGTGAGAGCTTGAGTTTTAGGCCTAGCCCACATATGAATTAGTATTCACCTTACCCAAAAGTCACTGCTTCTATTTTCCATCTTCAATTCATTCGTGCATTAAAGGTGATTAGGCTAGATGGTTTGAAGGAGACAGGACAACATTTCCTCTTCTCCTCTTCTCAGTTTCTATTACTAATAACCCTTCCCCTGGTCCACACATTCTGACTTCACTGGTTAAATTTTGGCCTGACATGTTTTCTTTTTCTTCTCGGTGGTTTTACACACCCCTGGTTTATTATGAGAAAATGGTTTGAAAAATATTTTCATTTCCCTGTCTCCACGTTAATCTTGGACAATACTAGAGAATCAGTATACTCTTTTAAACTTGCAATGAGAGCAGTACAGTTGATTTATTTATATGTCTCTTTTAAAATGTTCTGGCATTTGGACAGTTTGACATGTTTTCCCCAGATGTGTATACATATAAGGTTTTTCTAATAAAGACGTATCTATCTACAGTGAAACTACTTTATTCTAAATGTGTGTATCATTATTATTTAATATTCATGCCTTATCAACTTGAAACAGGTTCTCATTCCTCACCTCATTGCACCAAAGAAGAAAAGCTAAAGCTCTAACATACTATTCTTTTTACTGGAAGTTTCCTTTTCCAGTTTTATTTTTTATTTTGTAAAAGTTAGCATCACATCTTTTTTTTGGCGGGGGTTACCGGGGATTGAACTCGGGTCCTTGCACTCGCAAGGCAGGCCACCGAACCACTGAGCTAAATCCCCAGCCCTCCTTTTCCAGTTTTAGAGACAGGAAAGATCACTTTAAGAAAGAGATTTGGTTTCCTGTGGGCATATACCAAGGAAGCAATCTCCAGAGACACCATTTCTTACGATGGACATTCTCCTCTCTATGTTGTACCAGAAACACTGTCGTGTTCTATATGTGATGGTGCCCACTGTGACGATACCACCCCGAACTCTTCCCACACATGTAACTGTAGAAATAATTCTGATGAACGTTGGATGTTCCATCTGCAAGGAAATACTTCATGCACAGTAATAACACGATTGCTTTTTTCACAAGTTTGAAATTTTCATTTCAAAGCTTTTTAGAATCTATTTTCACCCCACAGATGCCTATGAAGGAAACAGTTACGATTAATTCTGTTATTCTCTTCATAAGACTTTTGCTAAAAAGTTGTAAACTAAAACATGTATCTGAAAGTGCTTTTTCAGTAGTAAAGTCCTACTTCACTATAATTTGTATTAAGATTCTGCTCTTTGAACTGAAGGATCCTGAAATGCAATTTGACTCCAATAATTTCTAAAGGTCGTAATTGGAGAATAAAATTGGTATTCAATCATTCAATCAGTTATTAAGGACATGCCCATAGGATGGAAAAGGAATAAACTGTAAGCTTCTTATAGTTGTACTGAATCTTGGCCATCCAATATCAATAAAATATAGACAATGTATGACTAAATATATAAATATTATTTGGATTCAAATAGGGTACCTGTTGTTATAGAATCTGGATTAATTTAACCTGAACTAGTAGCACTTTTGCTAAGAAAGCACATCGACTCTTAAATCCCTCCAAAATAGTACCATTTTATAATTCATTTTTCTTGGCACACACTCCATACTTAATAAGTATTTCATGAATAAAAATGGTGGATATTAAGGGAGAGTTTGAGTTTGATAATTTAGGTAAAATAAAAGGCACTTTGGAATGTGGCGAAAGGATCTAAACAATGAGCTCTCATTCTTTAGGAAAAACAATAGAGGAAACAGACTGTCCTCAGTTAACCTTACTCTTGTTCTTAAATGGAGTGGAAAAGAACAACCATAGGCACCACAGTCTGAATATGTATAACTCTCCCAAGTCCTACCTTGCCATTTAACCCCCAAGGTGAGCATACTCAGAGGCAGGGCTTTTCAAGTCTATGGCATCATGAAGACAGGACCTCATTACCTAATGAGGTGAGCTCAAGAGGATTAGTGCCCTTATAAATGAAGTGTGACCGAGCTTTCTGTCGTCCCCCTACATGGACATATAGAAAAAGCCACCTATGGGAATGGGCCCTCACTAGATACCAAATCTGCCGGCACTCTGATCTTGGACTTCCCACTTTCCACCTCCATGACAAATAAGTTTTAATTGCCTGTAGAGTGTCCAGTATAGGGTATTTGATTAGAGCAACCAGAAAGGACTAAGATATTCAGTAAATCCAGCAAAAGGGAACTAGTGAAAATATAATCTAAAATACTGAGTGCTGCGTCTAGGATCCTCGGCAATCTCACTGATAATACTTTATTGTGCAACGGAGCGATCAAAGGAGGGTTTGTTGTGTATCAACCTAACGGGAACATGTCGTAGAGCTCTGGGAATGATAAGTGACTCGGCCATATAATCATTTGTGTCCAGGAGTGAGAGCTAATGATTAAGCAATGTTTTTACCAGTCACATTTTTATCCAAGTATAGCGACTACACTCACTCTCATCCTCTTTAAGTAATGGCCTGTTCACTGAGTAGTTTTTATCTCTATGAGATGAAACAAATGTAGCCAAGTTCCCATGATACTTTTCTCTCCGGACGGCTTAGTGCTATTCTATGTTGACTTTCTCTGGAATGTGTAACACAGAGACAGGACAGAGGCATCCAGTGATGTTATGGTAAAATAAAATGTGATCTCTAGTGGTCTGCTTATATGCATATGCCCTAAAACTAGGCTTTAATTCTACTTTGTATGCTTTTTACAAGTATCACTTAGGAACCTTACTAAATCTTTCTGGATCTTATTTTACTCACCATGAAAATGTAAATGATATGAATACATTCACACCACTGCACATTCCAACACTGACTGAGTGAATACATCTTAAGGAAGTCCCTGATTATAGTTGAGTGCTTAGTAAATGTCAGCCATTGTTTTTAAATTTGAATTTTTGAAAGAACTGGGTTTAGTAAACCAAGAGCTCAAACTAGTTTCTCTGGCTGTGCCTGCGTCTAGCTGCCATGGCACTTATGACAGAGAGTGGTAAACTAAGGACAGCCCATCTCTACGGCCCTTAGATGCATACAGTCACAGGAACCAGCTCAATGACGTGATTGACTCAGAAGGTTTTGTCATTGTAAGGAAACTTGTACAAACTTGGAAACAGCCCAATTGCCTATCAGCTGGAGACTGGATAGAGATGTGTTTTGCTTTGTTTATAAAATGGAGTACTACTCAGTCATAAAGAATGACAAACTAGACACATATATAGCTAAAGGGATGCACATTGAGGTCATACTCTTATATATAATAAATAGTATGCACATGCGTAAAGACAAATAATTTTTCTGGTGTGAGAAACAAAGTGTACATAAGAATCAAAATGCATAATAGATAATGTGAAATAGGAAGAAAAGGTGCAAAGGGGAAGGGCTGTTGAAGGGGTATGAGAAAGGAAAAAAGGGAAAGGAATAAATATGAGAAAAAGAAAAAAACATAAACAAAGTCTTTGTAAATAGGGTGGGGTAGGGGTTAAAGGGAGGGCAGGGGCATTGGGGAAGAAAATACATTCCCATAGGACTCTCAGCTTTCAATTTAGTGTCTCTGGCAAGGAGTCCATGGTTGGTGATATGAAACAAACTTATTTCTAAAATTATAATTCTTTAATTATGACTTATAAATTATAAACTATTTTGTATCCAAAGCTTAAAGCATTATGGAGGCATCTTATTATTGTAAAGTAGAAAAAATGCATAAAGGAGAGAAACAGAAAAAATTTATCATTGATTTTATTCTTTATAAGCAAGGCTGCAGAAATATAAGAAAATATGTACTAGATTATATTGTATTTTAATATACAAGTGTTAGCATATTTTAATGTTCTACAGTATATTGTGCTGTGTTTAACATATTAAATATGATTTAGCTGGCTTAGAAACAACTTACATATATGTGAAACATTATAGGTACAAATATGTATTACTGAGGTTATTTAACCTGATACAGAGTCTTGAGAAACTAATTCCACTTACATTAACTACATGTATTTAGAAACTATACATACTAGGTTTTGAGTATCATGCATTATTTTTGCATTTAAAAGTTTTATAATCTAGGGAAAATGGCAGCTTCAATATTATTGGCAAGTCTGAATTTACCTATCTGCAGAGTGGAGTTAGTAATGTTTACTGGCTTAGAAACAATAAAATATGGAAGATGAAAGCTACTATTACAGCTGTTAAAAGATAATTATTCACTAGTTTAGAAATACAAAGAATATATAAAAATAAAAGTGTATTCACCCCCAAAAGATAACACTTTAAAATATGAACACTAGTGTCTGTAATTTTTGCAATAGATGGGGAACAATTAGCCTTATCCTAAATATGAGTCAAGATCTTTATAAATCGAAACATATTAGTGTTTAGATTATGTGGGAAGAAAATGAGATTTGTTCACCGGGAGTTAGAACATATTAATTAGAGATTTACTACTTTGAGTAAGTTATTCTAAAGTTTATTAGGAAAGTTCATAATCATAAAGTATGTGTCTTCTGCACATAATTCTTTAGGCTATGTCCATTAAGGGTTTTGCTGAAACAGATTGCTTGGTCTATAGCATTAATTATAAGATGTGAGTGAAAACATGTACACATCGTGGTGGCGATCTATTTTAATTATGGGCAGAATGAGATCATCATAATTCCCAACTGAAAAATCGTCCCCACCTAGTGAATTTTACGGTACTGTTTCCCCAATTTCTCTTGTCACACAAGAAACCTTTTGTATTAGTGGGAGAACTGTCAAAGCCAACCCAACAGCGCTGCTGGACCACCGTGTTGGCACAGGCTGCAGGCATCTCGCGACAGTGACAGTGGGGCTAATTCACTTTGAATACTAATGTCTTCAGCACAACTGGTAATTCTGTGTTAGAGTAAACTCTTCCAACAACCTGCTTTACTCGTGGATTTATGGAATTTTAACTTGTATTGCTAAAGAGAGTCATCAACATAAGAAAAACATGAAACCCAGACCAGCTACTCTATTAAATAGAACTGATATGGAAACTGCCTTCTTTTCTGAATAAGGACAACATTTGTATTGAAAGTTTGTTCACTTTGCAAGAGTTCAAACCATTGGAATAATGCTGCCACTAGCTAAAGATCAATTTTATGAAATATAATATGGAAAATATCTCTCTTTTGTAGGTTAAAGTACTTTTGACAGATTTTAGTTGTATTTTTTCAAGTGGGACAAAGCGATCACAACAAAAAATATTAGAAAGAATTGAGTCAAAATGATGTGATTTTTTTATCTCAATGTTATAGTCACATTGTCAGAGGAAATATAACATGGTCTCTAATGAAGGTATCAATTGCAATCTTCAGTTCTAGGCAGAAGTGATTGTGTGTGTGTCTGTGTATGTGTGTATCTTTGTATGGGACCCAAGCACAATCCACTTATGTTTGACAGACTAATTATTCCTCCTTCATGTCTCGTTTTTAATTTTAGAAAATATGAACAAAACTTAAGCACCAATATTACTATCACTAATTGAACATAGTATCAATTACTCATATATTCTCAAATTACAGATAAGGTATATTTTAAAATTCAGGTGTATAGTATCTAGATGTTATTTTAATAGGGAGACTTCAGGCAAAACACCCTTTGAAATAATATTTGTTAGACTTGATGATAGTCTGTTGGAAGATAAGAATTAAGAGGTAAACTGCAGCTACTTCAATCTCCCTAGGAAAGTGGGACCTTATAAATATTGTAATACTATTCCTAGCTAAGATACCTTAGGAAAGGAGATTTTAATCTGAGAACATTTTTTTGTTTTCCAATTGTTCTTAGTCTAACTAGATTGCTTAATGTGGGTACTCAGTATTTGCAAATAGACCTTGTATTTATAGGTTCTTAGGGTGCAGCTGATAGAAGGAAGTCTGTCCAGTGTGGTAACTAAGTAGCCATACATATCTGCGTAGCTCAGTAAAGGTGTCTGTTGAAAAAACAAGCCATGTAGAATTAACAGTGACTTACTCCTTTCTGCCTTCTTTGGTTTGTTCTCAGTACCAGTGGCCCTGTGCAATTACCATTATCATTATTTAAATCAATTGCTACATAATTATGCTTTTCTAGAGAGGTTGATAACAGCTTTTAAAATGAGTGGCTTTTGGAGGTGAATCTGTGTCTATCCAAACACTTAGATCTTTTAACGAGTAATATCAGGCAGTAGTTCCTTCTATTCAAACACCTTGCTTTGCAGGGATGCAGCAGGCAGTCAGAAATGTACTATTCGCACAGGTGGAAAGGACTGAAGAAGGATTAGAAAAACACTTGATTTCCCTATAATTTGAGGAATCCAATTCTTACTTTTCAAAGACACAAATGAAGTCAACAAAGCTCTGACAACTTACACTGACATGGCTCCAAATTGATGAGGCCCGGGGGACGGAGGTGGCTGCTAAGCTCAGTATGTGGGGAGTCTAAATGCTGTCAAATTGCATACACGGGGAGGGTTACAATACATAGCAACAATTCATGCCAAAGTAAACTCTCCATCAAAACATCTAGCTGTGCTCTGACTAAACATAGATTAACTATTGATCTTAATTTAAACAAAAAGCAGGAAAAAAAAATCTTTGAATGAAGAATAAATTTTTTTTAAAAAAAATTGGTTGTGGGCACGTCAAAGCTATGTGAAAAGTAAGAGAAGATGATGGTGATGTAGATAATATGAGAAAAAAGTATCGATATACACATGTATCATGTTTATACATCTATTGTTTTATCCAATAATGATATGGTTATGGTTTAGGAAAACATTTTTAAGGACATTATAAAAAATATCATTGTGCTTGAATAATACAGTAAGAAATGTTTGAGAGTTTGACTAACAGAACTGTTTATTTCATTTATATTTTTATGTGACATATATAGAACATGTTTAATTTTTTATCAGAAAATGTTAATCAAATGATTATTTGTCATGCTCATAGTACTAAAAGCATGCTATTCTTAGCACATCTCACAATATTAAAATGACCAAATGAATTGTCATAAAAATGAAAATAATTTGTTCTACCAGTTATCCCAGTAGTTCTTATCCACAGGCAACTTTCCTTCCCTAGGGACACACAGCAATGCCTGGAGATATTTTCCAATGCCAGAATTTGGGGTGGAGATGGCACTGGCCACTGGGCAGTGTACTAGAGATGCAGTTAAACACCTTACAGGGCAGGGAGCAGCAATCTAATGAACAACATCTTACAACACAGCACACACACACACACACACACACACACACACACACACACACACACACCAGCCCCTGGTCCAAGAGGTGTTATTGGAGAATTTAAGAAATCTTGCCTTAGTCTGAAATAAAACATCTCATTTGTCCAAATGATTTGGCTTTCATCCTAATTGTTAGCAATAGTTGGAAAAAAATTCTTATTACCTTTACTTTTCCAGATTGGAATATTAATATGCTATCCTCATTTGCCTTAATTATATTTCTGCATTGCAGATATGTGTAGCAAATGTTATCAAATAAGAGAGTTTCTTGAATTAACCTGACTGATGCATTTACATTGTGTGTACTTGCTCCTCGGCAAGCTCTAATTACGGAGATCCCCTGGTGTTTCCAAGATAGAATGTGCTTTGTGGTGAGACCCTGTAAGATGACATCTTTTCACTGTGTGTTCAAGTGCAGTGCAAATGACCATGCGTGTCAGAACAGACTGACTAGATAACGTTTTGCTGCAGTACGTATTACTAACACTCTGGTGCCAAAGTGATCAGCACCGTGGCAATCTCTTGTACGTTGAGGTACTTTCATATTATGGACTTGCATTAAATGCTCTGGGCAAAGAAAAGCACATATTTGGAAGGAATAAAAGGAAAGATACTTTCAATTGGAATGTTTCACTTATTTAATCGGTATGTGTAATTTAAAATAATTCAATTTCAAAAGATAAAGTTTAAAATTTGAAATACTGTATACACATATATAATGGATTACAAGAAATTGGGTGTGTACTAGGAAAGAAAACTGGTGTAACAAGGAAATACAGACTTTTCTAATTCCAGAAGTAGAACAAGAATTTTATACTGTGGTTTAAGCAACAGTGACATAAACACCAGAGGGCTTATTGGTTACAAGTTCCAAGAGAATTGAAGAATTACTTTTAAAAATCTGTAGTTTGGGTGCCACACTTTTTGACTATCTATAGTAGAATTATTCAAAATGTATAGAAAACCAAATATCGACAAATACATATAGACATTCTTAAATTTTAAAGGGAAAAGAGTGGGGAAATAGTCTAGAAATAAATAGAAAAGATGAAACAATCTCTTAGAAGTGATTGCGAAGCAAAGTGTAATAGTTGTAGTTACCGTGAAGCATACACATGGCCCCAGTGTGATTCATTCACAGCTCTCATCAGCGCATACTCAAAATTGGCTTTGGATATTGAAAATACTTTAATTAATTTTCTTCTGCTAGTAATGCCTGAGAAGAGATCTACCAAATGAAACCTAGCTTTTGTTGTTAGCTTATTACTCTAGTTATTCATATTATGAAATTTTAAGCTTCATGTAGGATTTCAAATAAACTTTGAGAGCACTTCAACTCAATGCAAAGTTTCACTGCTTTGTTACTAGGCAGTTCACAGACATCGTCGTAGCCAGGGAGAATGAGAACGTCAAGAAATCAGGCCTCTCCTCCCTCAGCGAGAAATATGTGCACACCATGCACAAACACAGCTTTTATAGGACTGAAAATGTCTCATTTCCAGGCTGCTTTTCTTTTCTGTGTACCTCTTGTGCTGTTATTTAAAAAGGATGTAGTCAGTAATAATAAAAAGCTTGTTTTATTGCCACCTTAATCTAATGATCTTAGACCTAGAACATCGCATGAAAACTTAGTACAGAGCAATAAAATTCAATTTTTTCCTCTTTCTACTATCTTTTTCCTCATTACCACTTAAATGTTGTCTTGCTCCATTGTAAACCGTATACTGATCACACATGACACTGACAACTCTTGGTTCCTACTTCAACTCATCCTGTAGGAGCTTCTGTGATTAAATGAACCCTTCATAGTTAATAATTACATAAGAATAAGTACTGTACTTATAAATGGAAACAGTCAGAAAGCAAGGCCAGTACAATTTCGGTCTCTGTTCTTATTGTTTATTTTGAAAGTTCAGATGATTAGATCCAGAACATTTTATTTCGGTCACAATGAAGTTCTCAGATATGCTACTTTTTCATTTGACTGTTTTTTTCCTAGCCTAGTCAGCATTAAGGTGTAATTCATACTCATTCATTTATATTCTTATTTCATCAAGTACTGGCTGATTTTGATCTCTGCATTATCTCCTTTGAGAACACGATGTTTTTAGTCAAGTAACTGATTGCGGGCCTCTTTTTGCAGACCTATGAAAGCTATAAACAAATCAACTATGGTCAGCTGCCTCTGCACTGCTAATAGAAAGCAGTGCATGTGCAAATCTGACCTTCACTACCAACATCTATGGCTGGAACATATGTCGCTGCAGTGTTCCAAAGTACTTTCCTCCTTTAGTTTGGGGAGGCTTGATATACTCCATTTTGCATAAAGGTCCATCTGTAGCAATTCCATACCCCTGCAGGTTTCCAAACTACTCAGATAAAGATGGCACTGCAGCACATACATATAAACACATATAAACCTGTGTGGGGCCTTAATGAATTCAGGAGACCATGGCATCGTTAAGGCAGGGAAGGCTCAGAAAAGCAGCAAGTCGTAAATTAAGAGTGTCAACTCAGAAAGTGACAACCAGAGCAGAGGAGGATGAAGCGGGCTCT